TTTGTTTTGTTTTTGCAGCCTTGCAGGAGGAGACGCTGCTAGTACGTACAATATTCTCTTTTATTTCTAAATTCTATTTGTTTTGACTTTGATACCTTCTCTCTTTATTTCTCAAGCCTTTAATATGTCCATTTGCAATATTTTTGTGAAAAATGCTATTTGTTTGCAAAAAGACTTTGACAATGCTAAAATCAACTACTAATTTGCCATCAAAATATTACCCAATAAATTTATCTTGTATTGTTTTGAAGAAGAGTACTTTACTACTTTATATTCACTTTAAAAATTTTGTTTAATAATTCACAATAAATATAAATTACATAAAAATATAATACAAATTCAGTGTTGTTAAAATATGTCCTGTGATTATGTAGAGCGATCTGAGTCCCAGCTGGAGGAAAGTAAGGAGCTGAAATTTCTGAATTTCTGACTCGGAAAGTATGATGGAAGAACTAGCATGATGGAAGAGCTCTTAGAGACTTGAAAAATTCAGATTGATATAAAAAAAGTGATTATATTTGTATTTAATTATACATTTTAAAGTATGACATCAGACTACTTACAGTAAAGTAACATATAAAATTTTTCTATAGGTTTATTAGACCACTATTTTTATATTATATTGTAATGAAATATAACGTAAATATCTCTTATTTATATATTGATATATATTTTTATTTTTATTTAGGAATGTGATGAGGAGTATGAACGTGATGGATGAAAAGTATGAACGTGAAGGATGAATTTTATAAAAAAAAAAAAAAAAACTTTGACAAAATTTAAGACAATTTAAGAACAATATATAATATTTTGGGTATTATTAAACTTCTCTCAAAATATTTAGGTGACAAATTTTATATTTTTACACAACTAAAATGTTATGGAATTAATTAGAGTGTATTAAAGTTTAGTAAATATTGTAATTTAATTTTTTTCTCAGCTTAAATATTTTGAAATGTACACATGTTCTTATTTATATGTATTATTTTTATGGGAACAAAATGATGATATTATATTAGGGGTTAATTTATCTTTATGATTCACGATTAACTTTAATATACACTCTACATTTATATTTTTATAATTATTCTTAATCTTATTATCATCATGATCTACTAATTGTAACACTGCTCTTACTCTTATAAAATTGATTATTATTTATTATTAGCAGAAGTGCATAGTATTTTGAACAAGTTAATTTAATCTGAAAATAAATTTTAACTTATTTTGTGTACTGCAACTAGTTATAATACAATTTTTTTCAAAAAAAAAAAAAAACATCAACAAGGTTGGGCTGGAATATCCTTTCCTCGGCCCACCTACCTTTTGTATAGACTAGCATTTTGTTTTGACAGCTTTAACATATCATATTAGATGGTATATTAATGACTTGTTTTCACGATCATGGATAGCTGATTGCTTAATAGTTGATAGTTAAGTGTAATAGTTGATTTAATCATTGTAAACAGTTGTTTAGTAAATAGCAGTTTGTGTGTGAAAATTTTGTATTCACATATTATTCAAAAAAATTATATGTTTTCGAAACACTCTTATATTGATTTTATTTTCCAAGTTATCATTTCGGCCAAAATGGTAATCAAATAAACTATTTATTAAACAAGATTGTTTGCAAACATCTAAGTAGACATGGCCAAAATCTGGACCGGGTCACGACCTGGCCTGGCCCGGCCCGGCGGGCCGAAAGGTTGGGTTTGGTGGATCCTGACCCGGCACGGGTTTGAACTCGTCTCAAAAAAAAAAAAAGGAAAAAAAAGAAAATTTAAAAAACTATACATTTTTTCGCCTCGACCCTGACCCGGCCCAGG